GGCTCCTGCGCTCACAACACAGAAAGTGCTGGGGTTTGAATGCTGCTGGACAGGCGGTCAGCCCAGTCCCGTGGCTGCAGTGGCCATCTTACCATCCTCAGCCCTCCGTCACGGCCACTCCGGTAGCCTCTTGTCCCTCTCCTGTGCTGTCCTCAGCTCAGGACTGGAGGGAGCCTGGCAGAGGTCACAGAAAGCTGCAGCATTGCAGAGCCACAGGCTGGTCTCCAGCTAGAGCCGGAGTCAACCAGGACAGTCCTCCACAGCGTCTCGCTGGGCTGAGGCAGTGAGCGTTGGAGGCACGGCATCTTTCATCCCCAGAAGCTCAAATTCAAGTGTAAGGAGAACCCCTGGAAAGGGACAAAGCTGGGGAAGTCCCTCCGCTGAGCAGGCTGGGACTTCTTGTGGAGGTGGGTGCCAGGGAGGCCCCAGGTGGACCGTAGCAGAGACCTCGACGTGGGTGTGGTAGGAGGGCGAGGCCTCTTGCCTTCAGGTGGCTGTGTACCCTGCCTAAGGTTTGGGCCATATACAGAAGCCTGGAGATCGCTGTCACCGCCCTTGGGAACCTTGGCATTGGGGGCGGGAGGTGAGGCTTGTATTGCTTGGGGCCTTTTCTAGTCCCGCCCTAGCTCCCACCTGGCTGACACAGAGACCATTAGACTCATTCAGTAGGTGTTGCAGCTCTGCGTCTGGCAGTTATCTGTCCCAGCCGGGTTTTTCTGGTCTGGCTGCCTCCCAGCCACGGGCCCCTTCACGTGCTGTCTGTCTTACCTTGGCCTTCTGTAGCTCTGTCCTCCTGCTCATCCTCCTCATGGCCTCTTTTCTCGATCCTCTCTCCTCCTGGCCCTCCTAGGATTGGAAGTCCAGCCTTCCTATTTCCTCTGCCCAGTCATTGGCCATCCGGCTTCGTTATACATAGGATCAGTGCCCACGGCTGGTCTGCAGCCTGATTTCCAGGCACAGAAATCAGCCTCTGAGCACTCTGCACAAAACATTCTCCAACAAACACCAGAGGCAGAGGTGGGGCTTCACCAGGTGCCAAAGGGAAGCTCTCACTTCTGTAAAGTGATGGCTGAGGAGAGCGCACACCCGTCTCCCCATTCGTCATCCCCCGGGCAGCAGACCAGCTTAACCTGGCACACTGTGCATGCCAGCCCGAGGTGGCACTCGGCTGTCCCTACTCAAGTAGGTCTGAGAAGAAACCAGCGGTTGGACACGGGCCTGGCCAGCTCCTGACTGTAAAAGGTCGAGTGATGGAGGTCCCAAGGTCTCCGAGGCGGCTTCTCGGTTTTGTTGCCATGAAGGCGGCCACACAGTAAAGATGGCGGCATCCAGGTGGGTTCCAGAACTTTACCTGCAAAACCAAGCAGCAAGCCGGGACTAGTCATGGTTTGTACAGCCCTGTCTTTTGCTGTGAATTCTGTGTGGGACAGGGACCTAAGTAGCAGTGGTTTAATTAAGACCAAGTTTCCATTTCTCTGTTCCACAGTAACAGTACTCCATGAGTGTAACAGGGGCCGGGCTCCTACCATCTTGTTGCTCTGCCATTTTTTTTTAAAAAGATTTATTTATATGTATACACAAGATCTCATTATGCACCAGATCTCTTCATAGGTCACTGTGAGCCACCGTGTGGTTGCTTGGAATTGAACTCCGGACCTTTAGGGAGAACAGCCAGTGCTCTTAACCTCTGAGCCATCTCTCCAGCCCCTTCTCTGCCATTTTAAAAAGACTTTTTATACAGTACTCTGCCTGTGTGTGCCTGCACTCCAGGAGAGGGCACCAGATCCTTTATAGATGGTTGTGAGCCACCATGTGATTGCTGGGAATTGAACTTGGGACCTTTGGAAGAACAGACAGTGCTCCTAACCTCTGAGCTATCTCTGCAGCCCCTTACTCTGCCATTCTTTTTGTTTTCCAGACAGGGTTTCTCTGTGTAGCCCTGGCTGTCCTGGAACTCACTTTCTAGACCAGGCTGTCCTGGAACTCACAGAGATCGCCCCGCCTCTGCCTCTCAAGGGCTGGGATCACAGGTGTGCGCCACCACCACCTGGCTGCTCTGCCAGGCTGTGTTGCTTTTGTCTTCATGTTGAAGACTGCTTGGTACCCATGTCACATTCCACTTAGGAAGAAGAGGAAAGGTAAGTCTTTCACAGACTTGGGGACTCTACCCAGGAATTCAGTCAGAACTCAGTCACAGGCCACAACTAGCTGCAAGAGTCTGGGAAATGTGGGTTTTGCTTATTTGCCTCTTTAACATTTGAGAAACAGGAATCATTTCTATCACAACCACATCACCTGTGGGCTTCTAAACTATACCTCAGGGAGTAACACAGGCTTGGTGGGGCTCGTCCTGAGGGTAAGGGTGACACTCCTGCTCTGCCTGTATTGGCAGTGTAAGCCCTTCGCTGGGTCTGGTAGGAGAGCCAGAAACAGGGTCTCCACAGGCGCCAGCAGTGTTGGCCAAAGGAAACACGAAGCAGAAGGCATCTCTGCTTGATTCCCGACCAGCTCTTCTACCGGCCGCTCTGCCCCGCCCTCCCCTGGCCTGGTGTTCTGGCAGCTCCCACTCAAAAGCCAGCTCATTTGTGCATATAAAAATATCCCTCACTAGAATGGTTCGCAGAATTAGCTAAACGGTGTAAGTAACTGGCAGTGGGTAGCACCTCGCGATACCATTGCCTGAGTCAGGGAAGGCTGGCACAGACGGGTGAACGCTGCATCCCTACCCCCACTCCCGGTGCCTCGGAGCCCAGCTCTGTGCCGCGTCTCACTCCCCAGAGGCCCAAATCAGGTCTGGAACCCGGCAGCGCCTCCCTGCCCCACTCAGGCACAGAGCCAGGGCAATTTCCTCCTGCAGGCCCTGGCATCCATCTGGGAAAAATGAAAGGTGATTACAGAATCCGAAGCTATTTAACAGAGAATGAGGGAGACAGGAGTAATTTCTCCTTCTTGCTTTCTCAACGCATCTGTTTATCCGGCGTCCCTGCTTCTGAAAAGGCCAATGTTGTCCAGAAACTGCAGGTGTGATCCGCCTTTTGCCTTGCCGGCAGGGTAGTGAAGTCCCTCCGGGGTCCCCGAGCACTGGGTGGGTCCCCCAGCTGTGCCCAGGGAGCCTTGCTTGAACACTCAGCAGGCAAAGGGCCCGAGGTGGGCTCTCACGCACGTGTTGCTGCCTTGGAGAAAGGGCCTGGGTGGTGGGGGACAGAAGGAGGCCGCAGAGTGAGCCTCCAGGTAGCTGAGGGATGTGGGGGACAGGCCAGGGGGACTCTCCGTGATGGCCAGTTGCTGCCTGTGTGGGCCTGCTGTGGGAGCAGACTGAAGAGCGCGGCCAGTGTTGGACCCCAAAGGCTGCCTGTCTGACAGTGCCGGTGGTCACGGCACGTGGGGCAGTGTTTCCTAGACGAAGTTTCAGCACCGAAACACCGGGTCCGGGCCGCCACCGTTGTAACGCTGGATGCCGGGCAGCCCTGACACGTGGGCGCTGGCATTGCTAGGCCCCTGGGGAACAGACACAACTTCGGAGAACATCCGCGGAGGCAAAGCTGGAGACAGACAAGAATGAATATTGCCCGAGCCACGGCGTGCCCGGAAAACGTGAGTGGCCGCAGCTGCTGCGACCTCGGCTTCATCGCCGCGCGGCCCGCCCTCCCTCCGGGGCAGACTGGGCACGGAGGATTTTTTCTCTTTTTGATGCCGGGTTTCTCTGTGTAGCCCTGGCTGTCCTGGACTCCCTTTGTAGGCCAGCTGGCCGTGAGCCCACAGACAGCCTCCTGCTTCTCCCTGCCGCGTGCAGGGATTAAAGGTGTGCGCCACCAGGGCAGTCCCGGTGAAAGCTTAGGAAAGAGGCGGACAAAGCCCCGGGGACTCTGTCCAGGGGGTGATATCCCGGGCCTCCCCGCAGCCCCTCGTCGCGCGGACTGGCTGGGTCCCGACACTCGGGGCCCGCGGTTGGGGCCGCAGCGGGCACTGTCAGCGGGGAGGGCTGACGCGCACACGGGAGCTTCAGCCGCCTCGTAAGGCAGACCCCTCGGGTTTGTGGCGTCTCCGCCAGGCCCAGGGCGGCAGGACCAGCGCGGCGCTACCACAGCTCGCCCGCAGGTCCCCCGAGGAGAGGTCCTTCCCGGTCCCCGGGTGCGTGATGATGACGTAGCCGTGGGCTCCGTACAGCGCCCGGATTACTGCGCAGGCGCGCCTCTTCCTGCGCCATTCACCGTACAGCCTTACTGCGCAGGCGCGCCGCT